ATCTCAGAATTGCACAAAAATAACCGTGCACACTCGTGACTTTATCTATGTACACATCGACCTATTTTCACTTAAAAAGACAAAGAAAATTGACAAAAATCCAATTCGGCTGATCTTTAGAATATGGTAACTGGTAGTTTGGCGACATTTTGGAGGCGATAAAGGACCTGGGACTTTGGTAATAATATGAGCAGTACTCAATTCCGATTACGCATTATTTTGTGTGAGGGAAATGAGAGATCATGGGATATGTCATGTGATATTAATGGACGAATTACGGTTCTTTAATCGGAAAAGGGGGGAAAATCGGGAAATTTTGTATTTTGCTTTATTCTGTGTTGTGTGAAACAGTGTTCGTTAATTTTTGGATCCCCTGGCCCTAACTAAAGTGAATTCGAAATGGGTATTTAGTGGGATTGAAAGGGGTAGTAATAAGTGTTTCTTTAAGGTTGTGCAAGATAGAAGTAAAGATGTTTTATTAAGTTATTTATTTTACCTTATACCTTGCTGTGAACTATGATTTTAAAGATCCTGAAACAGAAGTAAGAAAAGTTTATCGGACACGTAATCAAGATTCTGAAGAAGATTAGGTAAGTTAGTATTTTTAATTATTTGAGGATATTATTTTTATGCATTGTTCTAAATGTAAGGTGGAAGTAAAGTAATTTGGTATTATTGGGAAAATTGTTATTAACAATGATAAGTTTATCGGACACGTAATCAAGATTCTGAAGAAGATTAGGTAAGTTAGTATTTTTAATTATTTGAGGATATTATTTTTATGCATTGTTCTAAATGTAAGGTGGAAGTAAAGTAATTTGGTATTATTGGGAAAATTGTTATTAACAATGATTTAGTTTAAAGTAATTAGGATTGTAAGCTAATTTTTATTAATTTAATGTATGTGCTTATTTATATTTTAAGTAGTTGTTTTTTAATTTAATTATATTTAATTAAATGATAGTTATTTTGTGAATTTTATGTTTAGGAATTTGGTATACATTTTAGTTGAAGTAAACATGCATGGAAATAATTTAAATATTTGACACTAAGTATTTGTAATGTTTGCGGTATGAATTCGTTGGTGACGTTTATAATATATAGATAATTTAGAGGTAAAAGTTTTTGGATATTTTATTATTTTATATGTGGAAATGTTCATATTTGGAAAGGGTAATATACTTTTCGCGATCAGGTAATTTCATATATGTTCTTTTTAACGGGTTTAAAGATTCAGAAAATTGTCATGTATTTTCGTGAAATTTTTCTAATTTATGAGAAAAAAGCAGTGTACATGGATATGGTGAAGAGTGTGCGCAATGCCATTTTTGTGTAATTCTGGGGTTTTTTTTAAGTAAAAATAAGTCGACGTGTACATGGTTTAGTGATATTTTAATTAAATGATAGTTATTTTGTGAATTTTATGTTTGTAGGAATTTGGTATATATTTTAGTTGAAGTAAACGTGCATGGAAATAATTTAAATATTTGACACTAAGTATTTGTAATGCTTGCGGTATGATTTCGTTGGTGACGTTTATAATATAGATGATTTAGAGGTAAAGTTTTTGGATATTTTATTTATTTTATATGTGGAAATGTTCATATTTGGAAAGGGTATATACTTTTCGCGATCAGGTAATTTCATATATGTTCTTTTTACCAGGTTTAAAGATTCAGAAAATTGTCATGTATTTTCGTGAAATTTTTCTAATTTATGAGAAAAAAGCAGTGTACATGGATATAGTGAAGAGTGTGCGCAATGCCATTTTTGTGTAATTCTGGGATTTTTTTTAAGTAAAAATAAGTCGACGTGTACATGGTTTATGTGTATGTGTTATTTTGAAAAACGCATAAGGAGTATGGTATTGTGCACTTTTTCCCAATTTTGCAGTGAATATTTGTCATGATTAAGCAGTTTTGTTAGATAAAATTTCTAGCATAAGTGTAATTCGGCTAGTAGATTGTTGGAAGAAGTGTTCAGTAGATAAAAAGAAAAGAAACATGTCTTTATATTGTGAAGACAAAATGGCGGCGGGGAAAAAAAAAAAATAGAGGGTTGCTGTAGGAGAGTTGGTCACCAAATTTTCGCCAAAAAATCGCCAAGTTACCATAATGTAAAGATCAACCTCCACACTAACTTTCACTTAAAAAAGTCAAAGAAAATTGACAAAAATCAAATTCTTCTAACTCTTGCAAAAAGTGCCAAACAAATAAGTGGGCGATTCTGCACTTTTGCAGAGAAATTGTTTCTAAGTGCTTATTAGCTAAAATCACGATCAGAATTTTCCGGAAAATGTCACATTACATGTCTCATGATCTCTCATTTCTCTGAGACAAAATAATCTGTGATTTGAACTGTGTACTTCTCAGATTATTGCTAAAGTCCTAGTTAGCAACCTTTATCGCCTTACCAAAATGTCGTCAAACTATCTGTTACCATATTCTAAAGATAAGCCGATATTACTAGTACCAGAAAAAGATAAAACTAAATCTATAAATGTTATTAATATATAACATTAAAAAAGCACTTTTATAAGCCACGTTTTTAAAATTCATATCAAAGCTTACCATAATACATGAAAAACATTTAATTTTAGATATACCATCTTTAAAATGGTATTTATTATCCAGATGTTTGTCAAGAAAAATAACATTTCTTAGCTTTACCTGTAATCAAAACAATTCAAATCAACATTAAACAGAGAAACACACATTTCAATTACCTGAACTAACGTAGATCACAGCCTATCAGAATACTAAAAAAATATCCCAAATATGTTAATTTATATATGCATTCTAAACAGATTTAATAGATTCTTTAAAAACATGTGATGTATAATATCTTTTCCCGGTTAGAGAAGACTTTAAGGGTACCCCTTGTATTATAACGAAGTTGTTGTTTCATTTATCGCCAAGTTGTTGTTCCATTTATGGTAGCCTGAGTAGTTGAATGTTATGGAAACCCTATTGTTACGTAATATGGTGCATGATTCTTGGAAATTTTGAATCACGGGATGTTTTGTAAGTGCTTTTGTGGTGTGTGTTGATTTTATTGTTAGACGGTAGAATGGCTGAATGTACTAAGATTAATTTGAAGTTTCTGTACAATTTGGAACAAAAGGCAAAAGAGCGTTAATTGACTGGTGTGTAAATGAAGGTTTACTTAGTGGCAGCCATTATAAGTGTCCTGTATGTAGGAAGGATATGCGTCTAGTCGAACATAAAACCGTTTAGATGGATTTGTATGAAGAAAGGTTCAGATGTGGCAACACTGATATACGGATTCATGTTCAGATAATTTTAGGAAGGTTTCGGATGGTGTTAAGGAATTCTGTGTGCCACAGACTAAAGACGAAGGAACTTTTAAATAAGATAAGTGAATATTTGCTTTTTGTAGTGCTTAAATGTATAACATGTTTTTCCTTTTTTATGTTATTTTATTGTTTAGTTTAAAATGTAGTTTACTGAGATTATGTATTTTTTGTTTGCCTGTATTGTAGAATTAGGTGCTCCTTTGACTTTTTAAGTGAAAATATATCAATATGTATTTTTTTAAGTGAAAACACGTTGATGTGTACATGGATAAAGTCAAGGGAGTGTGCAATGCCATTTTTGTGCAATTCAGGGATTTTTTTTTTTTTTTTTAAGATGGAAATAGGTTGATGTGTACATGGATACCGAGTTTGTGCAATTCTTTGTCTTGTTATTTTGGCTTTGCGTAGTGACGATTTTTGCGCCCAAAATTGTCCTTATGCAAGATAAACTCAGTATTCCATGTACGCCAAAAATCGCCAATCATATATTTTATCTAAAATATACTTTTAGCCTTTTCCCATTACTTAGATCAACGAAAAAATTAAAAACAGATAAATAAATAATGAATAAACTTCATTTCATTTTACTCAGAAAGACAAATAAATTACCATAATATCTGAAAATAGGATACCTGGAGTAATTTTAAATTTACACTACAGCATAAGAAAGTCATTAAAAAAATCAAATACTGCAAAATTTCAAAACAAATTACAGCAAGAAATGGTAAGACTATAAACTTGCAATATGTTAACTTATTTTATTAAAATGGAATAATCAGCATGCTAAAGGAAACAAAAAGTGAAAATATAAAATACAGAGGAATACAAAAATTATACATAAAAATATCTTTCTTTCTTAAATTAAGGAACTCCTTATCATTCTTCTGGTAGTTACATTAAAATTAATATTACTTTGTAATAAATTATAGCTTCCACAAACATTGATGCATATAAATTAAAAGTATATAGCAAGTATCATTAATTATCATTATAAAGAAGAATTAACCTGCCTTCAAAAACATCCTTAATTGGAAAAATAATAATATTAAAGCCATTTAATACTAAAGGCCATTTACTAAATTTACTTTTTTGCTTTGATTCTATAATTTAATAAAAATTGAAATAATCATATCCAAGTGACACTCAGATAATTAAACAGCTGATCTGTATTAAAAGTGTTAATTTTTTTAATACATGAAAATATCTACTTTTTAAAATACAAGTACTGTAAAGAAATACAGGTTAAGTTCAAAAGTTAACAAATTTACCAGCCCTAATTAGATACATCATAGTGCTTTAAAGCCAATCAATGACACTTACTAAACTTACTTTCTGCTTTGATTCTATAATTAAAAAATATTACATTTAATAGCACAGATATAACAAAGTGCCATTCAGAAGACAGGTTTAATTTATTAATCAATAAATTATTGATTTAAAAATTAAAGTTTTTTTTAATACATCAAAATGCCTTCCTTTCGAAATCTAAGAAACAATACAAGAGAGAAGTATGCAAATGGAAATGCCAAAATATAATCACTACAAGATAATGTGATATATAAACATAAACAAATAAGTACAAATATCAAATATTAAAAATGCTATTACTTAAAAGATCCTTCACATGAAACTGAAAACTCGCACATTTTAGCATTTATAATAAAAATACGTTTAATAAACTTACGACTTTTGTTAGCCGTTTGAGTAGTTTTTTGCACTTCAGTCATGTATAAAGCCCCAATTAAAACAAAAAATGCAACAACTCCCACGACAAGCAGCCAGGAAACACAATGAGAGTAGTTTGTACTTGATCCCTGTACCTTTTCTTCGTGGAATTCCCCATTAGAAATGGTATTTGGTAAATAACCATTCGTACGATATCCTGGATCTATGTGCTCTGTTAAAGAAAGTTTCTTAATGACTTTAGGTGCTCAATTACTCTAAATACAAAATGAACAGATATTATATTCTGCATAACAAACATAAAAATTGATGCACTATAGTTAAAATTGATTACCTCTCTTTAATCTGTTTAGAGTAGTGCTGAAATGATGAAGAGAATGCTGAGTGTCTGAAGTCCAATGCGAATTTAGAGATTTTCTTGTGACAGAATTTTCATATTTTGTACCATCTTCATTGAGTTTTCTCAGATTCATACCACGGTAATCAGATGAAATATTAGGTGGTGTTTTTTTCCTCAGCCTAGCTGATTTTCCAGGCATATAAGGGCTTTCAGTATCAAAATCTGAATCAGAAGTTTCTACATCAAATGATGTTTGCTTTCCAAAACTCTTTCTCGTTTTTGATTTAGTGTTCTGATTACGGTGAAGAGGGCTGTCATAATGTGCTTTTCTGTCCTGACCCGGAATAATTATGTGCACAGGTGAGGGCTTCTTAAAAACATCTGTTTCAGGTGAAGATTTCATTTCACGAGGACGAATTAAGCTCATTCTCTCGGGGCGAACCACAGATTCATTTCGATTAAATGTTCGTTTCTTACGAACCCTGATACTACCCGATACTACACCCTCAATTTCACTGTCGTCCGAACTGAATGCGTTCAGGCCGCGAGTCATTGTAGCTGGAACATTCGTTTTCCTAAGAGCTAAGAGTTTCTTTTCCCATACAGATCTAGTTGTGGGTGTGATCGGACCCACATCTTCTCCATAATCCTGAAGTGATTTTCGCAGCTCTTCATTTGACAACCGGTTGGCCATATAAGTGTTTCGCCTAATCGTATAAAATCCTGAATCTCAAGTTATATATTCTCAGAGATATGAAGAAAACATCAAAATAGTTACAAACTTTCCACTATAATATGACTAACCTTTTTTTTCTTTTTTTTTTTTTTTTCTTTCCCAAGCCTTTCTATAAATACCAGAAAAAAGTACAGTAGCTAGTCTTCTTACGAGTCTTTAGCGTTCATAGGTTCAACCAGGAATTCTATGTTCAGCCTTGCTTTAACGACGATTTTTTTTACTAGGGAACAATTTTCAAAAGTGGGGGTATATATTAAAATAAGAACCTGTGTAAAGGTGTTTAAATAAACCATCGATCACATCTAAATTATTGTATTAAAAAAAACTAACAAGAGATCCATCGCTCATGTTGCCAAAAGGAATGTTATACATGACTCCATAAATCTTTAAGAAATTCAGGAAAGTCTCGTTTTCAACAATTGTTTCTATTTTGGATTTCAGATGACATGTAGTTAGTATTTTACACTTATTTTCATTTGATTTGATTTAATTAATGCTTTTCGGCCACTTATAATTATTGTTAGTTTTCTTTCTTAGAGGTGGCAACCAAAGTGCACTAAAGAGTGTTTGTTGTGTACATGAGTGACGTTTTATTTAAGATCCAAACCAATTTTCAAACATAAATGATACTTTAGACTATATTTATTAGTCTTTGAGCGAAGATTTTCTGGTACCCTCGAACGGGACATAAGAGGCAATCGTCTAGAATTCTAAGGTATAAAAATGGAAAGTAGAGAAACTATTAAACTCAAAAATGCAGATTCACAGAGCTGCGTTCACGAAATTCTCCATCGTTTTAGGAGAAATTCTAAATAAAAGGTGGATTCTTCTAAATTACAGTCGGAACTTAATGCTTTTGTTTCGAAAGCTGAAAGTTTAGAAAATACGCTCATACGTTTTTCCAGCACACAGACAGGAAATTAAACTGAAGCAGAGTTTGATGCTATTGAAGATTTATAGAGACAAAGCCGTTAGAATCGAAACTAAACTGAAAAGTATTCTGCAGAGTATAAATACTTTAAATTTGATTTTGAATATTGCCAAAGTTTGACTTGAAAAAATTACATTGAAATTAAAGAATGTTATTTTTCTGGAGTCAGTTTGAAAACAACTGACAAAGACACTATGCTTTCTGGCAGTGTTAAATTTCAATATTTATTACAAGCGACTGTTGAGTGTTTGCAGGCAAGTGAGGTTACAGAAAATCTTCCAATACAGCCAGGGCTTACTAGCCATTACTAGCTGGGTAAGGAAAAGGGGGCCGAAAATCAGGGGCGGCCGAACTCTCTTAATACCACGCCTTAAACATTTTAAATTCATTGTAAATAAAAATTTTAATAATCACTGAGCACTTCTTTTTAAATCTGAGGGCGGCAGTCTTAGGAAAATACTCGGGTATCCAATGGTCTAGGAACGGCTCTGCCTACAGCAGCTAATTATGCAAAGGCTTGTTGTTGGAATACAAATGTTGGAAGAATCGTTTTGGTTGAAATGACTTGCAGGTGGAAGTTTATCTAAGAGAATTACTAAAATTTGCCCTGAGAAATGCGAATTCTAGTAATTCTTCTCATAACTTTTGTGCATTTGGAAAACAAATTCGGGCTCTGGAAACCCTTGTCGTCACTACAGGTAAAAGCGCTGCGCTTGTTTATTAGTCGAGTCTTGCTTACATGAAGATTCTTAAGAGCCTATCAAAGACGTGTAAATGTTGACTGGACAGTTTATAAAAATTTTTACACACACACAGATCGTATTTTATTATCGAGTGTCAATATGTAGAACACCTTTTTACTCGGCGTCTGATAACAATCTGGAAGGAAAAGCGATAAGAGTAGTGTAGTAGGAGATGTGAGAGGTGGGAAAAAGAGAGTCAGGTCCGCGCTAGCGGCGGCGAAGGGGGGTGAGGTCAGTGTCATTCAGTGGCGTAGCTAGGATTCCAGCGCCCGGGGACAACTGAAGAATTTGCGCCTCTTCCTGTGTGCCAAAAATAGAAAACATTTCATTAAAAAATTTCGTAGCATCAATTTGGCGCCCTCTGGATGCTGTGCCCGGGGACAAATGTCCCCCTTGCCCCACCCTAGCTACGCCACTGGTGTCATTACAAGATGTAGCGACGGGTGACAGACTGCAAAGTCAATTTAGCTTGAATGAGTCAATTAAGGTTGTAATTCTTACGTGGGTAGAATGTCACATGGGTACCGATGTTTTACACTGAGAGTGCTAATAAGACTATCACTGTGGGTTTGTAGTGAATGAAAGAAGGCTGACCGCTAATAGTTTAATATACTCTTAAATAGGTTCGATTTGAAGGTCTCTGTAAAAGTAGGTTTTTGGAATATACCAAGGAGTATTGATAATTTCTCGTAAAATTTTATTTTGCAGAATTTGTGATTGTTTAAAATATATAGATTTGTAGTTGTTTAAAATTGGTTTTAGCTTTATATTCCCAGATCAGAGCTACATAAATGAGGGCTGGACAAAGTGTGGAGCGCTATAAAATTTATTTGTTTGTTGTAGATAAGTTGCTTCTTCTACCAAGAAGAGATCACATAGCGGCAGAGGTGATTTTAAATTTTTGTGCTACTTAACGGAAGTGAGTTCTGAAGATTAATTTTTGATCCAGAGTGACTCCAAGGTATTTGGTTTCATTAATCTAGTCTATTTCTTCGTCAAATATTATTTCAGGAGGTGGAGTGTAATAGTTCATGTTTCCCTTACGGAAAATCATTGCCTTGGTTTTATCAGTGTTTCTTTTAATCCTCCAAAGGGTGAGCCATTTTTTTCCAGTTTTATGAGATAGTTTTGGAATTGGTTTCTTACGGCGATTGCTTTGCAGACTTTAGTAAGTGTTATATATGTAACTGGATCTATTATTATCTGTTATGCCGGTGTCATCGGCCAAGAGTGCAAGAAGGGTCTTTGGGGATGTCTTGCGTATAAATATTAAAAAGATACAGCGAAAGTGCCGACACATGAGGGACACAGCTTTGATTACTCTGGTAGTTGAGAATGCAGTTCCAATTTTGTTTCTGAATGTTCTATTGCTGAGAAAAGAGACTATTAAGCAAAGGGTTTGACTCGCTGTCCCGTCTGCTTTCGAGTGGAAAGAGAATCCCGACTGGGTTTTCCGACATCAATCTCGTTCAGACCGCACCCCTTAGTGCAAGTTATCTTGCAGCCCCCATCGTATTTTTATTTTCTCAAGCGGAAGTGACGTTTTACGAGCGAACTAAACCAACACCGACTCTACTCAAGGCCAACTAGATATCTACAGGCCTTGCTCTACTACAAGCCAGATGGCGGTTTTGTGACGTCACAAGTTGTGGTCATCGGGGATTTGATGCGTCGTCCGTTGTAACGAACGAAGCGTGCTTGTTGCTATCGCTATTTTACAGTGTCCTTTTGTTGACATATTTGCTGGTCGATTGCAGAAAGCCACTCTCTCTTCAAATCTTCATTTTTAGGAAAGGAGAATACAGACACTTTTGGTCCTATTGGGTAGTTTCCCTTACATAATGGTACACAGCATCTACCCGGCATTTTAATAACTGAAATGTTTCATATTTAAATTAATATATAAAAAGGAGTAAAGTATAGTGTATAGTTAATGGCATGTAAAATTTTAAGAATAAGCTGTGTTAGCTTGTATTATAACATCAAATTTATACAGGAAAAAATATCCATAAAAAAAAATCATAAAAAATTTTTATTCTGAAACAGATCAGGTTATATCATATAATTGTGCAAAGCCCATTTGTTCTACGATGGGCTGACACAACATTATTCAAAAAGAAATTATACATAGCACAGCAGCCTTGTCTCTACCAGAAATAACACATGTCTACTAGAACATACGTCTAAAAACGTTGATATAATTAGAAAAATAACTTTACAATAAAGATGTATTCTTACCCTCTAAACGCATCCAACCTTAAAACCAAAAAAATCAAATATTCTGTCAGCGTTCGCACAACGTAAGAAGCTCAGCAAAGCCCCATCATGAGTTTCAACCCCCTTTAAGGCCCGTTTACACTAGCGGAACTTTGGTCCCAAGAAGCGTAAGCTAACGTCCTAAGAAACGTAACCTAAGTCGAGCGGTTAATCTTCAAAGGGAATTGACGTAAACCCAAGAGATGGAAAATTTTAACTCCGAACCTATGAGATGAAAGCTTTGGCCAATCACAGACGTACAAACTATCACGAGGGTTTTTTGTTGATGCTTTAAGCGAAAAACATGGCGGAAGATTTGACTACGTCTGACTGCAAATTAATTGCAGAAGTACAACAACATCCGATTTTATGGGATAATAGAAAAAAAGAATATCGAATGAAAAGAGGACAAGACGTTGCTTGGCTACTGGTTGCCGAAAGACTGAACCGAGATGGTATGTATCCATTTATTTATTTTTTTTGCTCCTTTCGGATTGCAATGTGCTCTCTTTTATTCTAGTTCTCTTTCGACTAACGCAATTGTTCAAGTACAAAATAGGTTTAATTAACGATTACACGATAAAAATTTGTTGACATATATTAAATTATAGCATTTTAGAACATTTCTGAAAATCTGAGTTTTATAAAATTTAAATAAGCTCAGTAGATGGATTTTTTAAAATTAAAGTTTATTAACTGCTTTAAAATGTATCTAAATGTACACTGTTCTATGAAAATTATATGCAGCAACCTTCAATTATATATATTTAAAATTTTTCCCAAATTATAGCAATTCAGATGATTACATAATTTTAGCTATTGTCTTTACATTAGTTTGCTCTTCTTTTTTGCAACATGTTACTAAAGGCTTATGAGAAGAAGAAAGTAAAAGTAGTAAGTGTGAAGATCAACAGTAGTAAAAATTTGATTAAAGTTTTCCTCCTCAATTTTCAGAAATACATTTTCTTCATTTCTCATGCAAATGTTTATTCCGAAATACATAAAAAATCCCTAAATATATAAATATCCATATATATAAGATCCATATTTCATTTTCGTATGGATACATTTTGAATCTCATATAATTAGTATAATTGTTTGCATAAAATATTAATAATTAAACAGTAATTAATTACAGTGGTTGAATTAAAATTTCGGCTATATTTTTTTTAATTTCACAGTTGAAGAGGTTACTTACCGGTGGCAGAATCTGCGTAAGCAATATAGCCGAAGAAAAAACAAAATGCAAAAGTGGAGCTAGTGCAGAGTCTGCAGAGCAGCAATGGCATCTGATGCCCCAAATGTCATTTTTGGATCCATGTATCCGCCATCGAAGGTAAATATTCAGAACCAAATTATTTAGTTATGTTAAATATAAAATGATAAATTTTCATATTAACAAAATACAATCTTACTTGTTAGTAGTCTGTAATATTATAAAGCATAAATGGATTATTTGGAGTTATCCTAGGTTGACTAGCAATCAAAAATTGTAACTTTATTGATATAAATTTATTAAATATGTTAGATAGTCACATATGTGGATATAAACCAATTTACGTAAGAAATTCCTTCCCTTAGGCAGATATGCTTTGCCTTATATGCTTTGCCATAACTCAAATTCTATCCAAATACTTACGCTCTGGAAAACAAAAACTTCTACACAATTTTTTTTTTTTTAACATTTATTGCCTCATCACTCGTTATGAATGGTTTAACACCTTGTAAATGTGTTGTAATAAAACTGTATTACACATTATAGTTTTTTTCTAACGTGTTTGGGCCAACTGAAGTTCTTACCCTTAAAAAATGTTGTAGAAACTTTGCTGTTCTGTACTTTTTTAATCTTCCCAATTAAAAATAGGCCAATATTTTTGCAATGTAAACTTATTAACAAAGTACAGCATATGCATAATATAAACAAAGCACTTGCTCTTTCCTTTGAAAGCTGAGTTTCTAAATATTTTGATGAAGACTCGTCTGTATATGTTTTTTTTTTTTTTTTTTTTTCTTTTTGTGGCCAATTTCTTTTTATAGTTTATCCCTCTATAGTTGATGCCCATATTTCTGTACTCACACAGTTCAAAACTGATGTGTTACTGACCATTTTGATGTTCAGAAGTTAGTGTTTGAGATTATGCATACCTGCTTTAATTTTATGAAGTTACTTTGCACTTAACACATAAAGCCTGGGATTAATTATCATAATATATACCATCAGATCAAGGAGTTGTGCTTAAATTATTACATTAATTCATAATGAAAATAAATACAAAAGTATATATGAAACTGAATTAAAAAATGAAGTTGTAATACTTTATTACTGAATTAACTGTTAAAATCTTTCATGGCATGAAATTTTTCAAAACAGTCCCCAAAGTATAGTGATCTTTTTTTATTTATAGAATGTGAAATGTGTAAGCCAAGATTAGATAAAATTTGTCTTAAACTGTAAGATACAAAAAATTTGATAAAATTCTCTTGTGATTGTGTTTCTATAAAAAGAAATAAGAGTTATTAGTGGCTCAATATTTTCATTTATTATGTAAGGGCTTTGTATGCATATTCAAAATTTTTTCAATGAAGGCAAGAGATTCTTCTTTTTCATCTAAAATATTGATTTCTTTATAATACTACTATATGAAGTCATTTAAAGTCATCTCTATTTAGGGCATACTACATTATTGTTACTGTCAAAAACACTACTGTCATCACAACTGTTAAATTGCAGCCTCCAATAGTAATATTTACATCCATGTTATTTAACTCATAATCCCGCTGATCTTCACTACTATAAATTTGATTTTCTATGGCATTAATATAAATAAATGTTACATTATAAATAACATTTATTTGGATTAATGAGAAGGATGAAACTGTTTGTGCTGAGATGACAGATTGTCATAATTTTGTTCCCTGGTTGTTAATTTTAATCTGAGATGCGATTCCACGTCCAATAATCTGTTCCATTTTTTCGTCTTAATGTCTACAAATACAGTCAAATACCGAAAATCCGCCAACTCCTGAAATCCGCGTTGCCTCTCAGAATATAAGCATTCAGTTTATATTCTGAGTTTCTTGGTTTCGGAAACCGCAACATTGAGTACGAAATATCGAAGAAAAAATACTTACCGAATAATGACGTCATAATAACTGAATAATAATGAGTCATAATGGAAATACCAAATTATTGACATAAAAAGTTTAAGAAAAAAGATAAGTTTTTTTTCCTTCTAATCTGCATCGAGGTAAAAAAGCAGACGATTCACTCTTTGTTCAAGTTCATGATTCAGGTTGTTGTATTTTCTGAGCTTTGTTATTTTCACAAGATTGTTTAGTGCTGCCTTTTTTTTTATCCGGATATTTTGTGGATAAATTAAGAATATTTTAAATTTCAGTCCTTGTTAATACAATGACAGATAAGAAACACACTCATGATTTTACTGCTTGCAACTTTGAAAAACGTAAACACGTTGCATTGACAGTAACGCAAATTCTGTAAAAGATGGAGGCAGGTGCTACTCCTCTATATAGCAGAATGGCATGGAATTGCGACATGATTGTGTATGATATACGGAAAAATAAAGAAAAGCTGTTGACATTTTACAGCAACAGTGATTCTAACGCTGCAATCCGAAATCTTTGCATGAGGCGAAATCGGCAAACCTCGATGCTGTGTACATATAATTCAATGAATAATATAATCATATATGTAATAATAATTTAATGCATATAATAAATTATTGCAGTAATATATGTAATTTAATTAAATGTATCTAATACACCTTATTTATTTTGCACCATACTTCGGAAAATAAATTATTCATGTCATTTTGCCTTCTCCATATTTGTACGATAAAATTATTAGTGAGTAAATATGACAATTTGGTTGTATATTGCAGTACAAAAGATTCAAAGAGTGATGATGATTTCACCCCTCCCCATATTTGATAAAATATTATTTTAATTAAAAACAAAATGTGATCCAGCACTGCTCCAAGAACGTAATGACTAGGAATTACCCCATACAACTGGATGTAACAAACTGTATTTTTTTAGAAATTATTCTTGCAAATATTAATAAACACAAAAGATTATGTAAGAAAAGAATCCAATGGGATGTTATAATTCAAATTAACAAAAAAAAGCTTTTTAGTTTCAGGTAATCACACTGAAGCAAGAAGACTCTTGGTTTACATTATTTTTCATGCTAAATTTTAAGATCTATTTAAATTGTCTGCAGTTCATAAGTAATAAAAATTAAAAAATAAGCTATTTAATGCAGTAACAAATAAGATTCTAAATTTGCTTATTTCACTACCTAATTACTTTGTATCACAAAATAATCATTAATGTATTAAAAATATTTTTCATATGCATTTGATTTTTTTTCCTTGTTTTTTCTTTCTAAACAGGACACAGACAAACTTTCAAGGAAACAAAGAATTCGAGGAGCTTAATTTCACAGTAGAATCTGTTGTCTCCGAGTCTTCAGATAATATTGAATATCCGACAGAACCTGAATATGTGGAGCCATCTGTTATTCACGTTATGCCCTCATGTGAATCACCTTTATCACCTGCATCAAGCTCCAGACAAATCTTAGATAACACTAATTCAAATAATAATGATGAAAATACTCCTAGAGGGAAGAAAAGAAAAAAGAAAGAAACAATTGAAAGTTCATTGCTTTCTGTTATTGATGAAACAAATAAATATTTAAAAAATCACCATCGATGTGAAAATGATGATGACGATGATGATAAACTATTTTTATTGAGTCTCCATAGTGATTTGAAAAAAATGACTGATGAAAAAAAATTGGAAACGAAAATACAATTTTTACAAATTATGGCAAGAAATAAATGAAATTATTTGTACATAACACTAATCAGTTGTTTTATTGTTTTATTTACATATTTCATAAATATTTTCAAAAAATAAATTTACACAAGAAATGCTTTCCTTTCTTGCCATGGTACTGCTCCTTCTGCAGAAAAATATTCACAAAAATTATCTCGAACTGCAGATGCAGCACGGGATGAATTATTGGCCCCTAGACGGCCAAGAGGTTGCCATGTAAATTCTTCTGTTCTCCACATACCTTCTTTAATGGTGGCATTTGAAAGAAGAGAATCAGCAAAGTTCACTGGACAGTATTTCTTAGCTGCCTTTCCCAACTCATTTTTCATTAAGTAATTATGAAGGCAACAGCATGCCAAAACTACTTTATTAGCATGCTCTGGGTTCAGGGCAATTTCAGTACGAAGTACTCTCCACCTAGACGCCAATATGCCGAAAGCATTTTCAACGCACCTCCTTGCTCGAGAAAGTCTGTAATTAAAAATTTTTCTTTCATTCGACAGAAATTTGCCAGGATAAGGGCGTAAAATATTTTTCCTGAGTGGAAAAGCCTCATCTCCAACAAATACAAAAGGCAAAACTCGATCACTATTTAATAATGGTGTTGGATTTGGCAATGAAAACAAAGTTTCACTAACCAAAGCTTTACCTAGTGAACAGTTACTGAAAATTCCACCATCACTGATGCGTCCATAGTTGCCTGAATCAACATAAAGGAAAGTGTAACTAGCATCTGCCACTGCCATTAGGACTATGCTGTTATAGCCCTTATAATTATAATATGTTGATTCCAGCTGACGGTGGAGCTTGTATTCTGATATGCTTACCTACAAGAAAAAAAAAGCAACATTATTAATTGCCTAAAGAAAAATAATATACACTTTAATGATAAAAATTAATATAAATACTTTTTCCAATAATAAATTCAGTTCTTAAAAAAGTTCTTAAATTAGAAACTTGCAAAAAAATTCCTTTTTATATTAAAATTTGTTTTTCATTTCACACTTTCATTTATTTATTATGAAACAATTCCAGTCTTTTGATATTTTAAGACAGCTCATATATCAAGTTAGATGATTCTGCAATATTTTATATTTATCTTTGAAAAGAATCTTCATTTGCCTAATTTTAATATAATGCAATTTTTGTATTTCAAAAGTACTCACTGACAAATAAATATGGAATGCAAGACATAATACATACCATCGATTGCACCAACACAGTTGGGAAAATTCCATTTATATTCAAAACCTTCTGCTATTACAGCCCATTCATCTGATGATGCTGGTATAGCCATAACCAGTGGCTGTAAGACTTGCCATATGACATCACAGGTCTCTCGAATAATATGTGAAACTGAAGATTTAGAAACACGGAAAGTGTATGCCAGGTCTGTATAATTAGTTCCAGATGCTAGAAATCTACAAAAACATTCTGAATCAATAATTAAATTTTTGCAGTTTTAAAAACATGTTATAAAAATGAACAAAGGGCAATCTGTAGCAGTATGCAAGTTTTTAAAAAAGGTTCTTTTTTTTGGGGGGGGGGTCAGTTTCAAAGAGATTGCAATTTTCTTTCTTATTATTAAACCACAGAAAATAAATGCTTTATTTATGTAACTTATTTTGATAAAATTATGTTCCTATTCATAATTTTTTAAATGCATTACAAATTTTAAAAAAAAATATGAATTTTAAAAAGTTCAATTAGACAGAAGTATAAAATGTTCTGACAAGAACATTAATTTTCAATTATATATACTACACAAAACTGGAATTAGATGTAATAAAGACTTTCAAATAGAGCTGGTGCCAGAGCATATGCAACCAGGGTGACCACACCAGATGGCAAAATTATTAGAATTTAGGAAGGAATCAGGTGGCAGAATTTCGGATTTGTGGAGTTTGCACCAGGCGGTAAATTGTCTAGCGTCGACACTGCTTTCAAAACAAATGTATATATTTATATTTACCTTAAACAGATGGCAAGTCTCTCAGACGCTGAAATTGATTTCCTAAAACGTGTTTCTTGCTTCTGTAGTTTATCTTGCAGTAAATGTAGAAGATGATCATATTGTTCTCCCTACATGTAAATTCAATAATATTATACTTATGAGTAAATTGAACATCAGAACTATATTTAATTATCTAATTAATATAAAAACAAATACAAAATAGTTTATATTGTGCTAAAATGATTAGCCAAAGTAAGAGAAAATAATTTTGTTGTCTTGAAAAATTGCTTGAAGTATAATCTTACTATTTCTAACAATTAACACTTTTAGCGATTAACTCGCATGTTATTAACAAAAATAACATAAACTCCATAATTAGAAATGATTTCAGCCTTCTGTGAAGGTGATACCTTTCAACATGATTATTTGATTATGCACCACACACTAGGGTTACCTGCCTAAAGGTAACTAACCTAAATAATGTCATCAGGAAGATTTTTTAAGGTAAACTAATTTACATTTCATATCTTGGACAGATATGCACAAAATGCCTATGTTCTAAACCCTTTCATCAGGTATTGAACAATTAATGTTCAGTGTTTTTATTTATTTAGCCACCGACGGGATATTATAGCAACCTTCAGAGAATATGGTTATCTGTGATTGTCATTACCAATGTTTGTTTATATTCTCAGGAATACTTTTGACTATTGAAGGTGCTCAACATGAGGGGCATCACTATATACTATATTGCCGAAATATATACTGTGTTGCTGCAACTATGATCAGTGAAAAATATTCAGTTATTTATCTTACAAATTTGAAAAAATAAAATATGATAATTCTGATTAAAAGGAAAATTACTCTCCATTTCAATTTCACTCTTATACTCTAACAATTGCTTAATTTTTCAGGTAGTAGAATTTCATTAAATAATCTATTTTGATACAATTATTCTTACATTCTTTTAGAGGTTAAGTGTTTTTCATCATATTACTACAATATTCTCCAAAAATGATTTTTTAAAATATTTACATGATTTAATTTTATTGCTCATTTGTCAAATATAAAACACAGGTGGAACAGGAATGCAGAAAATCTTTTAAAAGCAAGTCTTTTTATGGATCTCCCAAATTCTCTAGAATATATTATTTAAAAGCCTAATTATTTTATATTTCTGGTTCTACAAAAGTATTTTCATGACAAAGTGAAGCAATACTAATAAAATTTATGACAGTAATAATTAAAAAATCTACGGATACAGAATGCTGGGTATTTTCTAACAGAGGAACATATCCTAATACACGATAGTGCATTAAAATGTTGACTGTCCAACATCTGGCACATCTAGTAATTTTACATTATACTCAATCTGATATTACGTTTCATTAAGGTAATCGAATTATAAACAACCTTCATTAATAATGCGCTTAATAAACCAATTAAACTAATTAGTTATAACTAATGCTAGTCCATAATTATATAAAAAATCATTTTGTCGGTAATTAAATCGCAATGTAATCATTAATCCTATTTCCTTAGTATAAATTACTAAGGAAAAAAATTACTAATTTACTGATATATAAAAAGAAATATTTGACAGTCTTTCCTTCAATTTTTACTTTCAGGTTTTGCTAAAAAATAAAAATAACTTACCGTCATTCGAGTATAATTGAAAAATAATTCTGGGTACTTCTGCCTCAGTGACGGAAACAATGCTGCATGAGCGGAATACGTATCTCGCTCTTGAAAATATTGACCGAACCCATTCCCGCCTTGGAACGCAAACGCTTTTGTACAGCAAATACATACATATTAAATTACTTCTCAAATGCATAACGCGCTTTCTTTCTTCAGCTTTTTTTTAACTTTAGACATTCTACCGCAAACTTTCGACATTGTACCCCAAAATAGGAAATATTGCCCATGCGCAAATCAAAGCGACTTGATTGGTTGGGGGTAGTAATTCTTAGGCTTTGAGACTTACAAGTGTAAACGGGTGGGATCCTTGGGAGTAACAACTTAACGTTAGCGTACGTTTCTTGGGACCAAGTTCCGCTAGTGAACGGGCCTTAAACCAGGTCTGACCGGTGATAGCCCTTGGCCCTCCCGGGCAATGGGGGATTATAAACTCTGGATCCCTTTTGATTTTTTTTCCGTTTTGTGAGCTGCGAACGATTTCGAACATATCCCAAATTAATTTTAATAATATATATATCTGTTTTCTAATAATGTATATATTTAAAATAATTTATATATATGTAATTTTAGTCAGTTTTTATTTTAAATTCTATATTGTAAAGTATCGTTTACGTAATATGGCTTTTTGCGCTGCAGCAACGTGCCGTAGCACTTACAGAAGTATGAAAGGATGAGATATTTTATTTCATGGGACCAAAGGATCCAAATGAGAGTTTGCTTTTGACGAAAGAATGGATACACAAATGTCAAAGAGAAGATTCTATTAATGTGAAGAGCGAAAAAATTTGCAGCGAACATTTTCTATGCAGTATATGAAGATGATATGAAAAAATCGCTTGTTTGGATAGCCACAAAAAGAAACTGTTGGAATGGAATGCTGTGCCGAAAGTAAATTATGATGACAATAATAAATCGAAATTGATGATGACAATAATGAATCAAATTTTAATGATTTTGAAATAAAACTCACAAATGAAAATGTAGGTCATCCTGAATGTTTAAGGATAACAAGAATGCATTGATAATTTGAAGAACAAAATAATATCCTTAGAAAATTGTATTAAAGTATTGAAAAATAGAGAAAAGAACAATTTTAGAATGTTTTTTCAGCGACCAAGAAGGTGGACGACATCTAGATAGAAATTGGTATCAGAAATTAAAATCTCAAATAGCGAAATTTGGCGGGGGGGGGGGGCACAAATCGGAGAATTTGGAAAAATATCTAAAGTCTATTTTTATAAAGACGCAGATTAATGCATTACTGAAAAAGAAGAAAAAAATCAGGTGTACTAGTGAAAATATTTCACGTAGCATCGTCATAAGAGCTCTGTCATCTTAAAGCTATGGTTTTTGGAAAGAAAAAAATTGGAATATCTTTACCTAGTATTATCAAATTAAAGAAATAGTGTTTATTTTATTTTTTAGTGTTTTCTAAATTTTAGTGTAGTCCAAGAATTCAAAGTAATGTTCTTACTCTAAAGAAGACAAGAGGCGAATATTTGTATTCTGTAGAAAAAATATGCGTTCTAAGTTTCAACGAAATGCATATAGATAGAAATTTTAGTGTAGTCCAAGAATTCAAAGTAATGTTCTTACTCTAAAGAAGACAAGAGGCGAATATTTGTATTCTGTAGAAAAAATATGCGTTCTAAGTTTCGACGAAATGCATATAGATTGAAAACTCTGCTATGACTCTAAACTGGACTAAGTTGGTTCTTTTCAAAATGTGCAGTTTGTTTTAATCAGAGGTCTCATTTCGCGCTCTGCCTCAAATTACTGAGAAACCGCTTTTTAAATAGAGGATTTGTTTTAGAAGATGTAACTGTTTTAAATTTTGATATTATTAAAGAGGTTTTAAATAGAGATTGAGAAGAAATCAAATTGTGTCACAAACTAAAACCAAATTATTTAATGGTCAAGGGAAACGAGAGACAAAAAGTCGCTCCAGAGAAAAACATTATTTTCAAAAAGTACCGCAAAAGGTATACTCTACCCTACAGGAAATCAGAAAGCATCTGACTTCTATGAGATAATCGATAATATCTTCGGTATTATGTGTATGTGTGTATTTAATTATGGCAAAGCACACTAGAGCTATCTGCCTAAGGGGAGGGATGCCTTCGTGGAGTTTCTAAGGGAAACTGGCTCGTATACACGTTACACATGGGGAAAACCACGAAAACACCCATGCAGCCAGCCCGTTCGCGGGATAACCTCGGACCGAACTACCAGTGTTCAGCGACTTTACCGCTCGGCCGCTGGTGGGCCTCTTCGGTATTATGAATAGTACCAAAATAGTACCAACAAGAATAACAAGTATTTAACAAACTAATTTTGTAAAGTACTTGTTAAAGTTATTCTTATTGTATCCTTTGTAACTAACTATTGATTAGATTTTGTGCTAGATTAGCATTCTAGATAAAATATAATAGTATAAAACATCAAAGTAATTGGCATAAAAAGACCTGCTTCCTTTACTCACACTTTTGAAAAATTAAATAACTGTTTTAGGTACTCTGAATAAAGCTATTTTGTCAAAATTAAGGTAGCAATCTTATATACATTTATTTAATTGTAATATAGATATAAGTATAAATTACAAAATTATTTAAAATATATCTATTATATTGAATCGGAAGAGAATTATAACAATGTAAAATTTACAATTAGGCAAAAAATCAAACGTAGGTTAGAAGAAATGTTGCCATATATATCATATATATTTAAACCTATGTCAATGTAAAGTTGTTTTTTGAGTAAATTTAAATAGCTGCTATTATAGTTATCTTAGAAGCAGCATAAAAATTCTCTCAGTTAGCATGCAAATAAAGAAATGATTAGAAATAAACGTGCATTAAATAAAAAAAACCTGCAAATAAAAATAAAAAAAAAACCACGGAACTTTATGTTAAAAGAGTAGCATATTTTATCTATTATTTTAAAATTGAGTAAGCATTATTAAATTTTTTAATGGTTCAATCTAAAATTCACAAAGCAGTAACATTGCCTCTTCCAAATTATAGCTATCTTTCACACACAGCTCATTTTAAACGCTGGTTCAAAAACGCTAATTTCCAAGCTGTGAATTATATTGGTGCGCTCAGCGTCATCATGGCTACGTCATCACTTCTCACTTTCTGCTTCAGGCGGAAAAGCTCTATGAGCTAGCCCTTCTCTTCTAAGTCCTGGAACCTTGCTATGGCGCTAGTGAGTTTCGTTCACCAAGTTTCGGTAAAGAAAGTCTAATACGTATTCTTTGGTTTCGGCTGTACGTTTGTAAATTAAAAATTTTATGTTAGCTGTGATAGCTAATTGTACGGAAGCATGTCAATTTTTTATGTTCCACCTTCGAAAGTGAAACATACGCCATCTCCTGTGCAAATTCAGAAAGTACGTGTCTTTTATGAAAATAGTTTTTTTTTTTTCACCGTTTCCTTTCTGTTTATTTTTCTCTCTTTAACCATCCATATAGATTTTTACCAAATGCATTTGTGATGCATTCTCAATTAACTCTAAAACTTGTGCCTCTATATATCTGAGTTTCTTATAGTCTTTTAGAATAATGATGAAACTTAAAAAATTATCATTTTAAGGAAAAAAAAAAAGTTAGCAGCTAATTTCAAATAAAATTTGCCTTTCTCTTTTATGAGGTGTGTATGTTCATACAATCACCCAGCTCATTTGTAAATCGTTTGTATCAAAATTTATAGAACTGCTTTTAAAGAAATAATTTATTAATTTATATGTTCATAACTTTCATTTCTTTCTGTGGTTAGAAGGATATTAAGGAGAAACTGTATTTTTTTAAAAATTTGTCTTCATAATTGTATCTTGAAATGTTTAAACTGTATGTACGATTACTGATGTATATTTATATATAGAAAGTTTTTTCCCTTAGCTTCAACAAGCATCGGAGAACTAGAATAACCTGCCATCGTGTACAACTTGGTGCTACACGAACTATCGTTTCCATGTGTACACAAAAATCCATTTTCGGCTCTAGTGTAGAATTGGGTGCCCCTTCGATTAGGGAAACTGTTACCTCGTTTTCTATTCAAAAACATCAGAACTGCACAAATTTGGCATTGTTTCTGTTGTTTTCCCACATGTAAGGCAATCTGTTTTTCTTTAAATATGCGGGAAAGTGCAGAATCACCCACCGCTTGGTGCATATTGAAGAATTGCACATACTCTGTATCCATGTACACATCGACCTATTTTCACTTAAAATCCCAGAATGGCACTGTGCCACTCCCTTGACTTTATCTATGTATACATGAACCTAATTTCACTTAAAAAATAAAAGAAAATTGACAAAAATTTAATTATTTTTACCCTTGCAAAAAGCGCCAAACAAATAAGTGGGCGATTCTGCACTTTACCTTAAAAATGGTTTGAGTAGAGAGAAGGGTACTCCTTGTATTATCGTGAAGTTGGTGATCGCCAAGTGATGGTTTATTTATGGTAACCTGAGTAGTTGAATGTTATGGAAACCCTATTATGATGTAATTGGTTGAATAATTGCAGTCAGTTTGAATCATGGATAAAGATATGGAAAGTGTGCATCAGATTTTCGATTAGTATGTTGTTATTTTGTGGTTTACACGGTAAAATGGCTGAATGTGGTAAGATTAATTTGAAGTTCTGTACGATTTGGAGCAAAAGGGGAAAAGAGCTTTAATTGACTGTTGTGTAAATGAAGGTTTACTTAGTAGTCATTATAAGTGTCCTGTATGTAGGAAGGATATACGTCTAGTTGGACGTAAAAACCGTTTAGATGGATTTAAATGGGTTTGTAGGAAGAAAGGTTCAGATGGTCACTATGTGAAGCATTCGATCAGAAAGAGTACCTGGTTTGAAAAAAGTCATTTGAGTATGATTGATATTTTGATTTGTGCCACAAACTAAAAATGAAGGAACTTCTAAATAGGGTAAGTGAATACAGTCAAAAGTCGTTAATCCGGACTCGTTGGGACTTCGGCGATTCCGGATTATAGATCATCAGTTTAAATCTGGTAAGATGGCATGCAGAAATTATAAAATTAAAAATATGAAACCGTAATTTATGAAATAAAGAGCAATTATGATCTAAAGGATATCAAAATTTACAAAAAAAAAAAGCTTAATATTTATTTGTTTACTTTATTAAACTTATGACGAAGAATTTGATTTAAATCATATCAAAGATGGAGTACATTGAGATGAAATACTACATTTAATAAGGAATTCTAAGCCAAATAAAATAAAACATCTGCCCTGAAGATAAGGATAGTGCTGACAGATCAACTTCCAATTCATTGCGCGTCGCAGCGTCCCCCCCTCCCCCCGAAGTTACGAAGTTGCAGTTAGCAAGTATCAAACCATCTGAAAGTTCATGGCAGAGATGGGAGAATCTGATGTACATCTTAAGCAGAGTGTTCCAATATTGCAAGAAAATACAACTGTTTCTCAAACTAAGTATGTCTCTCTTGATACAATTTATACAGACACAAACTTGATTCTAAACCTTATTTCTGTTCTTAAAGACTCGAATTCTGTTCATAACTTAAACACAAAATTTGGAACTGGTTCCTTGAAAATAGAGGAAAATAAGCATATACCAACTTCTAAACATACCAAGGTGAACTTTACACATGATGCAAATAAACTACAGAGTGGTGAGCAAATTATTTCAGATCTTTATGTGGATGAAAAGTCTGAAAGGACTGAATCTTCAGACTGTGAAATGCAAAACAAAAATACATCTGAGAACTGTAGTGAAAGAGTATTTGACTGAGGTATAACCTAACGAAAAATATGATATTCATTCTGAACTTTAATTTGTATAATTTAAAATTGTTATGTGGTTAATTTGTGTATATAACTTCTACAGAGTGTAAATATTTGTTTCTTTAGTTATGTTATTTGTTTGTTTTATTACGTTTTGTTTGTATCGAATTTATCTTCTGACCAGGTTTTGTGCCACCCGGGTCCTTAGGAGGGGACAGTGTTACAAAATGTTTAGCCACGGTAAGATAGCTTCCCCACAAGGTTGCCAGAAAATGGCAAGGGAAGGCAGGGTTGTCATATTTGACAACAAAATTAGTGCAGCCCAAAAGCTATATAAACCTTGCCTGCATGTGGAGTAGGAGTTAGTGAATGAGTGAGAGTCTAGTAAGTCAGTTAGTGCCATGTCAAGCAAGTTGATCGCGAATATATCTAGTGTCTTGTAGTCTATAGATTCGATTGCAAGACTCTTGAGTGTCTCGTAGTCTATCGGGTTGATAGTCAATCTAGTCTCGAGTTGGTCATCGGCTGTATTGCAGACTGGTGCATCGAGCATGTGCATCATTGAGGTTATTGAGTGTATTATCGCGTGCATTGCGAGTTGTAGTGTGGAGAGGCTTAAGAGTACGTTGAGTTCTGTGACCGACCGAACAGAGTCGGAAGCTGTACTCTAGTGCTTTGCTGTAAAGCTGTCTTTAGCGTTATAGCCTAAAAGCTGTGTTGCTGATTGTTTCAGCGTGTTTGTTGTCGTTTTTTTGATGATGGTAACCATGCTTTGGGAGCTGTCCTGTAATACTGGCTAATAAATTGTGTTTTGTTACTTCATCAAGTGTCGGTGTTAATCGCTCCAAATCCATGAACCTGTAAAGAAACACAATAATATTCAGTGTGATTTGCTGTAGCTGTTCAGATCTGTGTGATGGTGTTGTGTATATTCTGTTACAGTGCAGGAGATCGGGAATCGTTATGGTTAACCTTGCCACTCAAGCTGCCTAATAAATAAAAGCCATACATGGATAGATCAGGTTACTACAAAGGCCATAAAATCCTTTGAGACAGTCCTGCCAGATGTAAAAACGGAATGCATTGCTACCAAGCTGTCACGCTGTCCTGTCAAAATATGCTAATACTTTTCAGTTTCATTTCTGTCATATCCAGTTTAATTTATCTTGGGTCACCGTGTACATTAATAGTTAATTTGAAAGTACAGTCCAGTGAAATACTTCTTTGGTACATCTAATGCATAACAGATATATAATATTTCTGTAAAAAAAAAGAGCTATGTACCTTTCCTTAACAAATAATAGGGTATTTTTCAGTTTTGCTGGCACAGGCGATAAAGTCGCCAATAATGGTACAACCGATGCCAAACGGAATATCCTCACTGGTAACCTTTTACACGTCATTTTCAAAACAAGTTGCAGCCATTTCTTATCAGATTGTTTCTTTCAATACTGGCATGCCTGCACTGTAACCCCGATCTCCTGCACTGTAACAGAATATACACAACACCATCACACAGATCTGAACAGCTACAGCAAATCACACTGAATATTATTGTGTTTCTTTACAGGTTCATGGATTTGGAGCGATTAACACCGACACTTGATGAAGTAACAAAACACAATTTATTAGCCAGTATTACTCAGGACAGCTCCCAAAGCATGGTTACCATCATCAAAAAACGACAACAAACACGCTGAAACAATTAATTAGAATTAACATAGAATGAAACAACATTAGAAATAACATTAGAATTAACATAGAACAATTACATAGAATGTTTACCAGATAGTTCAATTTTATTCCTTAAGGCCATTCACAGTAATTGAGTCAATTAGGATGCAGTCACACCACTCACCCGAGGGCGAAAATATAGAAAAGGCGAAGTCAAAGGTTAAATTCATCAATTCTAATGAGAATGCATTAACAAAGTAAAGCACTGCAGTTTTACATAATTTCTGAATAAGCTATTTGTATGAATTGAAGTTATTCTTTCATTTAAACTTTTATTCCAAATTAAGATTTAACTTGAAATTAATGTAGATAATTACTGAGAGAATTAGATTTTTGTGGCGTAATTTACGTGAAATGAGATCACTAGGGGTCACAAGATATGAACCAGCAAATCAGGATGTTGAACCATGAAAGCATAGTAAATTTTTTAATTAATGTCTTTTTACAAATTTATTGGCTTTTCACAAAATTTTAAATGATATTAAAATGCTTGTGCCTTCAAAATAAAAAATTCTTAGAACTAACATTTATTAAAATTTTTTATGTGTATACTGTATGTTGTCACCAATAAAGTCTGCTTGGCGAGATTTGCGACGGCGAAACGGAAAAGTATCAATAATAGTAATGTAAATTTTTATTCTGTGCATATTTCCTTATTGCATTTTGACCTGATAAAATCACTGCCTAAAATTAACAGAAGTTCGGAAGGAAAGTTGCAGTTGTTAACCCTCAATTACTTTTTCTCCCCAAAAAGAAAGAAGAGAGAATACTTCATATTCTTAATTTCATAACTATGTAGTATAGGATCTACTCCTTTTAATTATTTATTTTTAGATGGCACCACCAAAATTGGTTGTTGTTTTAATCGTTTCTTTTTCTCTGCATTTTAAGCTCTTCTAAATGCATGGGATAAAAATATTAATTTGAAGCAAAAACTTGTAAAGGACATACATATCACATATATAATCCTATATATTTTTATTAATAAAACTATTGGCTATATGCCATTATTCAACACATAACCAAAAAAAAAAAAAAAAAAAAAAAAAAAAAAAAAAAACCACCACAACAAAATAAAACCGCATTCCCCACAAAAGTTTCCACGTAAAATGGGTTTCCATACAAACAAAATCTCAACCATCCAAGACAAAATATCACTACATTTGGCGACCACATGTATCCCGGGATGTATATGACACCTTAGCCGAAAAAAATTAGCAATGAGAAAATTTTCATAATAAGGTAAATACAGCAGTGCATGTTCTAAAGATTTTATTAGATTCTGTTTTATGACTCTTTGTTCAAAATTATATTTATTAAATTGTCAAACCATATGACAAAGCAATAACGTAGCAGGAGAATGAGAAAGTTCAGCACTAAAGCGGCAATATTGTAGTCCAAGATTAAATATGATCATTCCAGGAAGGAATGGGATGTACAAAACTGAGGACAAAAAACTAAAAATGTCTATAGAAATATATAAAAAAAAATTCTTATTCAGTCGTTTCCATTCATTTGTGGATTTATGTAAATTATTTTGAACATTGAAATTATATAACATTTAAAAAATAATTATTTAAACTCTGGTAATAAAAAATTTCTGAAAAGATATTGCAAATGTGTGTGTACATTTTTATTTCTATTATTCTTATTTTTATTTCTATTGTAGAGCTAAAATATGCATTACAAATTCATCTTTAAGACACAATAATCTTAAAAATTAAATTCATCTTTGTCTCTTATTTTCTGTATTATTTAGTTAGCGGCTATATTGGTTATGAAAGCGGCTATATTAAATCTGTGGTAAAATTTTGTTCTGTAATTTGAGACTTTATTCCTAGATTTTTTATTTTAGAAAAACTAATTTTTAATCTTAACATAGTATTTGTTTTTTCTGTTACAAATCTTTAATTATTTCTGTGTGAAATTTCTTTACTAAAACAAAATAATGTAATATTATTTTACCTGCAGTTGATTGTTTCTTTTTTTTTTTTTTTTTTTTTTAGTTCTGTGATTTGAGACATTTATGCTGGAATCTTTTTATTTTTAGAAAATTAAAAAGTTTTTACACCTTAATGTAACATTTATTATTATTATTTTTTTTTTTTTCTGTAACAAATCTCTAATTATTTCCGCAATTTCTTTTACTAAAACAAAGTAATGATAATATAATTTTGTGTATAGTTTATTGTTTAAGTTATTCAATTATTCACTCTTTAAAAATTTATTCAGATGCTTGACGAAAACACTCTGATTATGAGAGCCATCACAGATTATCAGAATAGAGGCAAAGCTCGTGAATGCCATCAGTGAGTATTTATTACTTTCGAACTTTTTTAAAATTTTGTGTATCTTTATATTTAAAAAAAAAAAAAAAAGTAAAATATATTTTGGGCCTGGCAAGTGATTTTGTAGAAATGTTGTGTATTTTGTGAGAACTGCCAATACCAATGATTATAAGTTAAGGAGTGCCTATGGTCAAAACCATGTACCCCCACATCAGAAAAATATCTAAGTAGTGAGCAGAAATAGGAAAGTTGCATAATTGGTTATCATGATGCAAACTAGAGGGAGCTACAGTATCAAACAGATTAATTGAAACAAGATGAAAATTTGTATAAAATCTTTTATCTATCATTCATTTCAATAATAGAAACAAATTATTACGATTGATATTTTATGTGGCCTCCCTTGGCCTCAATTAAGAGTTTGATCCTCTTTGGCATTGAATTCACAAGGTTTTTGCAGGTTGTCAGCATCCTTTCATCTTTAAACCATATACTGATAATTGCGATTATTAATTTTTCCACTGTGGTACAATCCGATGTAGACAATCGATTCTTGCAAATTGCCCACAGATTCTCTATTGGGTTGATGTCTTGTGAATTCCCAGGATAATCTAATATGGTGATATGGTTTTCTGAAAAAAATTTGACCATTTTTTTTTAAAGTATGGCAGGGAGCCAAATCCTGCTGAAAAACTCCTTTCCCATTTGGCCACCATTTTTTCAATACTGGTATCATTCTTTCTATCAATATGGACTGGTACTTTTCACTATTCATCATACCTGTCACTGGAACAAGCGGCCCTAGTCCATAATACACCTCCAGAACATTTTTTAAGAGGATGTTTTGTGGTTTGGATGACGTGTGACAAGTTCAGTTTTTCCTTTCCCCTTCGAATGAACCGAAATTGCTGGCTTTGCACGATGAAGTGAGTCTCATCAGAAAACTCTTTTCCAATCTTCTGCCATTCAATTTTCATATTTTTTGGCCCATGCAAGTCTTTTGGCTTTCATTGCCATTGTTAAAAGTTGTTTCTTGACAGGTTTCCTTGCTGGTCTTCCCGCTTTAAGAAATCTTTGACGAACAGTCATGGGAGTTGCGTGGACACCAGTTTCAGCCAATTCTCGAGCAAGGTCTACTGCAGTTTTACGGCAATCATTTCGACTAGAATTCAGTAATCGCTGGTCATCTCACTTACTTGTCTTTCTTTTTGCACCACATTTCCCCTTCCTCTTCACTGAGATATCCCCTGACTCCTTATAGCGATTGATGTTCTTATTGACTGTAGCAAAACTTACTCCAACCTCTACTGCAATGTCTGAGTTTTTGTGGTATGCTTAGCCATTGTCACTATCATTACTCGTTTATTCATCGATACATCCATCTTTGTAGGTTACGGTCAAAATGCTGAAATTGAACAACTTTTATTAGAAATATAAGAAAAAATCACTCAACCAATATCAAAACACGTGCTGCACACTGAGCTATGCTTGCTAGACTGTGTCAAAAATAAAAATAACTACAGTATTGCCATTACAAATAATAAAAATGTTGCCAAAGTGCAAAAAAAAAAAAAAAGTTTCAATTAATCTGTTTGGTACTGTACATTAGATCGAGAAAGTTTAAGAATAGAAAAAACCAAGTTTTTAATTTTTTCGGAAGTTTTATGATTTAAAACTTTTGTATTTTTTAATTTTATATACCATATTTGACGGCATATAAGACGCACTTTTTTTCCTAAATTTGGTCTTAAAAAAGTTACCTGCGTCTTATACGTGAAGGTAATTGCATTCAATAATTGTTTATTTGGCTTTTACGAAATGCGAGAACTAAAAGAAACCACGCTATTGAAACTTTTTTCCTTGTGTGTGGCCGTCTAAATAAGGGTGCGTCTTATATGCCGTCAAATATGGTATACATATATTTTAAAATATTTTAACACATAACTACGACACTAAAGCAAAAAGCAGAAAGGAAAGATTTTACAGATTAATAGGCTCATTGGCATATGGCACAAATCATAGTGAAGTAAAGATTAAATTTTCATGATTAAATATCCAGGCAGAAATTTATTTCGGCGGGCATGATATGATTAAATAGTGAACAGATTGATAGGTGGCCACTTTTAAGTGATAGTAGAGTAAGAGAAAGCAATTATTGCAGAGCAATTACATGGCAGTATGTCCTTCATGGGCCAGGCGCTGGAACTGAGAAGAAATTTTATTTTAAAATATAAGTTAACATCTATCATAAGTAAATAGAGAAAATTGAAAGTGAATAAGTAATAATGAAGGAAATGATCATTTTAAACATCATTTGTCAAGTAAAATAGGAAGGCAAAAGTTAGAGAAGTTCGAATTTCCTAAATATATGATGAAATTCTTTACTCTCCAATAGAGATGGACGAAAGTGCTCTTTTATGGGATCACATCACATATCTTGGAATGATTTTCTGTAATAGGAGAATATTAACCAAAGGATTGACCATTCGTATATCCAAGACCTAAATCCATAGACTATGTCTTGGACACTGTTGCTATATTCTTTCTTCCTTCCAGAATTTTCAAAACACCATAGAAAGAAACAAAGAATACATTTAGAAGTGAAACTGACTGCCACAGATGCTCATAAACTGCCATATTGCTAGTATGAAGGCACTCTGTGAGAGATATGCAACTTTTAAAAGGAACCATACCTCCCATTATTCTTTGTTTTATTTTTGGAACCTTTGTTTTAAAGCTTCCTGCACCAATAAACCTATGACTTTGTTGTGTGGTACTTTTTTCTTTTATTTATTATTATTATTTATTATTATTATTATTATATCAATCTCTGCCCTCATTTTATTAAATCTGTTCCTTAATTCTGGTAGTTGACCAAAGGGGAAAGTTCTCATTTTTAATATTATATTGCAATTCAAATGCAAAGTAAGTTAATTAAATCATTTAAAATTCATCCTGTATTCAATTCAGAACAAACCATGTGCAATAATAATAAATAAATTGAAAAAAAAAAAATCATGATGACAAATTGCATGAAAGGTGCAAAAAGTTTCAATCCAGAAGGAAAATAAATAGTAGCAGAAAAAAAGATGTAATTTACTTCCTTTATTGCATCATCACCTTTCATTCAATTTGTCACTGTGCTTCTGTTTTATTATTATTGCTTTTGATATGTGTGTATGCACGCATACATGTGTTTGAGGGTAGAGTTTAGTTAAGATTTTTCTATTTCTGGGGCCAACAGGTACAGGTTTGTCAAAGAAATCTTCAGCAAAGGGAAAACCATGGTTGTATTTATTACAGAAAAAGTGAACAAGAAGATAGCTCCAACTGTTGGCAAGAAATTAAAAAATTAAGTTGATCTGTAATAGTTAAATGGGAGGTTTTCTTGTAGCATTCTGTAATATCCATGGTAAATCTTGAAACATATTGTATCTTTGAAAATGGCCACACTGCTGATGATATTTTGTTTTTAATGCTCTTATTTACATTTTTTAATATTTTCAGTGTCATTATTTTTAACTTTTAATTATTACAGTGCATATATTTATCAGTCGTATGAAAATATCAAATGAATTAAAACAGTGTGTATAACAGTTTAAATAATATTAATGCCTAATTATGTAAAAGATGGTTAGTAAGCTAATGAAGGAAAGCTGTTAGAGACTTGTGTTATTTAGAAAAGGAAATGCATACTATCACCTTGAGTCTTCTTCAGAATTCAAACCACAAATCTCAACCACTAGCTGAATGTGCTTGTGCTAATTACATTACAGAAACTGCATCTGGGACAATGCAGTATCTCTTTGTATCATTGATACTCAAAGTTAAAAACACTAGACAATCTTGTTATTTTCCTTTCTGGCAAACTAATTTAAGTCAATTTCATCTTTTTCTCCTCTTTTTCTATATTATCCAAGATTTTTTAAATGATAGAGAACTATAGTTGAGATTTGTAAACCGTACGAAAAGGGAGCTTCCTAACACCAAATTGAAACACGCATTGCTTGTTGTCAAACATTCACATAACATTTTAGTTTTCATTTGAAATAATTTTAAATGCTTATTAAGGTGATCCTCAACCATTTTTGCTCCATGTGTCCATTTCATCATTGCTTGAAAATCATCCCCCTTCCTTCCAAAGCTTGAAAAATAACTATATGTGTTTTAGTTTTCATAAATAAGGCTAATATTTTTCACATTTTCATGAAATACATAAAAATGCATAAAATTTTGCATTAAATTCTCAAGTGGGTTGTAGTTTCATCATTTTTTCTATTTCACAAAAGTGGATATATTTATATTTTATTAATATTCTAAATTTTAATGTGATGTAATTTTTTATGCTAGCTTATTATTCTTTTGAAGTTGACCTATTATACTTGATTAAATTTTCATGTGTTCTAAATTAGTAATTTTTCTAAATTAATATGACTGTAATTCTTAGTAATCATTAATTTTTTTAGCTTAATATTAGAATTACTAATAAAAATATTTATTCCATCTGAAGGAGATAATCTATCATTTTGATGGATTAATACTTCTAGCATTAATTGTAGAATTGATGTCTCATGAATTTAAAAAGAAAATCTTCTAAACTCCTACATGTGTTGAGATTTGAACTGATTTCAGAGTGTATGACATAATACAGAGATTGTTTTCTAGAAAAAAATGTAATTATAATTTTTTAAGAATTTTAAATATTTTTGCACTTAAACATGTATATTCTTTTTAAGGTACCTACAACTTCTTCACAGAAATTTAATCTTCTTAGCTTCTGTTGCTGATGCAGTTCCTGGCACACTTCCTGTTAGTAACGTTTGCCTTATTTAAAAGCTAAAGCGTGTTTTTTATTTATTTATTTATTTATTTATTTTTTTATTATTACTCTCATATATGATTCATGTAAAAATTCTTTGATATCTAAGTTATTTTTCATTATTAAAATTTATGTATTTGTACCAAAATGCTTATATTGTTGTGCAAAGATTAAAGTACAATTTTTTTCAAGTGATTTTCAAAAGAAGGTACTGCTAGTACTTCTTAAGAGGTAGTTATAAGTTTCAAAAATGCAAATTATATATATTTTGCAACTTTAGTTTTGACTAATTGAACAGGTATTATATATTTCTTAATGTATTTTTTATGCTCCACTTATATAGAGTAAATCTGAAGATATTACTGGCTTTCCGATGTATGGATAGGAATATTTTATAAATATCCAAATCTGATATATTGAAAAGTAAATAATAGAGCTTCCCATCCAAAAGATTACAATTTGGTTATATTTTACTTAATGTTTCTTTGCATTAATTCAGTAACAAAATATTTTGAAAAAAAAAAAAAAACTGGATTTATAAAAAATAAAGAATGCTAATTTTTAGGTTTTGTTTATTAAATCGGGAAAAAATATTTTATAAAATTTTATTTAACCTAAAGTTATACAGTCCTATAATGATAGTTTTTTTCTGTAATCATGCAGGCAGACCCAAAAATTAAGAATTAAGAAAAATGCTTAAAAATAAAATGATCCATACATATTTTAAATCAAAGAAAATAAGTTAAAATGATCTGCATTCTTAAAACAAACCTCCTTTTTGTTGGAATGTTGCATTTGTAACTATTATCTTTTATTCTGTTTATCTAATAAGTAACTAAAATGTGTGAAAAAGTTCTAATTGTGACTGGTTTTAAGTGTGTTAATTCAGCTTCGTTAATGGCAGTGTTTACAGTATTTTTGAAAAATCTAGAAAGTACTTCTAAAAAAAATAAAAAGTTTTCCAGACATCTTGAGTTTTGATTGCAAAATTTTTTTAGGTAAAGCCATTATAATAGTTCAACAAAGATACATTTTAAAGATCACTACAAGAACATTAAGAACATCAAATATTGCAGTTATCAACATCTGAGTGATACAAGGCCAGACACTCTTCAGTCTTTTGGCAATTATTGGGCAAATAATATTGCATAAATTTACTACAAAATTTACCTTTGCGTGTGATAAGATTTTGTCTATCAAATAATATTGTATCTCACCCCTTTCTAATTTTTATTTTTAATTTGCGCTCTGGCATGTTCAGCAATGCACTGTCTTGCTGTCTAGTACAAATAAGAAAACAACTGTGTTCTGCCACTGATGCTTTTATTAACTAGCCATTTAACTTGGAATAGGTATAGTGACTCGTATTTGTTTTTGGAGATTATTATTATTGAATTTTATTTGCAATAGATCTTGTACTAAATATTGATACATGTACTAAATATTGATACATAGACTTCAAACTTTCTTCTAATACATTATTTTTTCTCTAGTCTTGCTCAATTTAAAATAAATGTCATCAAAATACTCTTTTAATGAAATAATATATTCAAAAAATTTTAATTAGTCACTCACATACTAGCATGAACACATCAAATTTTTGTTGAGATGCTTTGGTAGACAATATTTCTTGTTGTAATTTTCTGTTTTAAAGAAAATACATCACGAGAAATTTTTATGAAAGAATGGAACATTCTTACCAGAAAAAATAAGTTGAATCCATGGCAAAACATATAACAAGTGTAAATTTATTAAAAGATAACCAACAAAATATTGAATGCTCCATTATTTTGTATTTTTATTAAATATAAACTGTTTATTAAAAGTGTGCAAATATTTTTTGCATTTTCACAACTTTCTGAAAAACTATTTTACTTGTTGAAAAAGTTTCGATTTCCCACCCTCCAAAACAAGCAAGTTTAAAAAAAGATTATCAATAGCACATGTGAAAGAAAAATAAGTCATTTTACTAATGTTTAGTAGCTGATATTTGCAAATAAAAAATAGAAAAACACATGTCTGAAAACAAATATGAACTGCTGTGAATATTGGGAAACATTCTACATACAATCTGAAATCGGAATATTCAATATCCATAATGATCTGGAATCTTTTTTTTTTTTTTTAAAAAAATCTTTTGGTTTGTTTTGGCTTATTTAATTAAGGCAAAGCATTCAAAGGTCTTCTGCCTAAGGAAGGGGATGCCTTTGTTAATGACATTTTAAGGAAAATTGGCTTGTATACACATTTCACATAGGGAAACCATGAAAACCCCCATGCAACCAACCCATTTGCTGGGATTCAAACCCCTGTCAATCTTATGATACATTACAAACATTGTACAGTGGATGCTATACAATGTTTTTGATGTATCATATATGTTTTAAGATGACAGCCATGAATTTGAATCTTTTTAGATGTCGCAAACAAAAGGCAAAATTTTTCTATTAATCAAATTTGGGAAGAAATGTAAAGAAGTAGTAATAAATGAAATGATTTAACAAGTTTTTCATTTTGATAACGTGCCAATCATCAGTCAACTAATGAATGGTGAAATCTGTATTATGGTTCTGAATCCAGAAAATATTGCTACTGATAGTGAATTAAATGACAGAGAGGTTGTTGATAATGAAAAAGTTTCGATTGACATGTTAATGTGAATTCTCGACACAGCAGTTACAGGACTTGATCAATGAAACTTTGTAACTGAAGAAGAAGATTTATCTATAGGATTGAAGAATAATTACTAACACAAAAATCGAAGCAATTTAAACAACTTGCATTGAAAGAAATGTGTTGTAATAACAACAAATAGATATTGAGCTGCTTTTTTTTTTTTCCTTTTATAAATTTTTATTTCCGTAAGGTCATAGATGTTTCATTATTTCATAAATCACTATTTGATATTTTTAATATTGTGATTTTTACATATTATCTTATCAGATTTAAATTGATGATCTAACATCAGGAAAAATCCAGAATTGCCGAAGTCCCACATGTTTCCGGATCTTAGACCTTGTATTGTAAAAACTATAAAATTCTGTAATGTTTTATAATTATAAGTTTAACTCAAACAAATGTGTAATTTTCTCTTAACCCACTGAGTGACATGGCTTTATGGATCCGCTTATGGAATACTGTATTGAAACTGCATTTATTTGTTAAACTTCTTTTAATTACTTATTTTAGTCTTTGTATTCCTAAACAAATATGAACTCTAATATGAAACAAATATGAAATAAATAAACAAATATGAAACTCTTGAAAATAATATTTAGATTATTTTAGAAAATTTAATAAAGAATCAAAATGTTTTAAATAATAACGTAATCTAAACCAAGCAACAAAATATCGCATGACCTCAAAAAGATGGCCATGTCACTCAGGTGGTTAAACATGTATCATGCTGTTGACAATTATGTCATAAATGTATTTACATAACAGCATATTAAATCTTTTTATGCTGCATAGCTGCTATAGGATTGTTACAAATGAAATAATCGATTTGGGGGGGGCTGTTGAAATCTCTTTACTTAAACTTCAGCAGCATCAGAACATTTTTGTCTATGTGTGACGAAGGTTACCACTGTTTATACAGGGCTCTACCTTGTTGACAAGTTTTTAATCAACTTAACGGATTTTTTTAAAAAAAATCAGTGTCTTTGAAAGCTGTGAAGTCTTCTGCTACCTGATAAGTTAATGTATTATTGGTAAAATATTTATTGCCAAAAAAAACCAAATTAAAATCTATTTGCAAAATGGAAGAATGAAGCATAATTTTGTCTCCTAAATTGTTGATTTGCGGTTGTAACTTGACAGTATGATGTAGTTGAACTTTATTCTGAAGCATTGAGACTTCCATGTCTTTTCACAAGTGCCAATTGCTTAAAGTGCAATTTGTCATGCATTTGCCTCTTCAAGTATTAAGCTATATTTATTGTTCCTGTGTGTGTAAGGAATAAATTGTGAATAACAGCAGCACATGACCAATCTGCTGTAAACATTATCATCTTTGGATTAAAAGGGTCTTTGGAGTTCTTTCTGAAGGTCTTTTCCCTCCAACTACTGCAGTGGAAATGCACAATTGTCATAAAATATCCACTTTTCATTCACTGTCACAATACTTTGCAGAGACATATCTTCTTTAGTTTTTAAAAGAGACCTACTTGTTTTCATCAGTGAGTTCATGTTTTCTTAAGCTTCCATACTTTTGTCATGCTTGACAAAGGCTTTCCTTACCTTTATCAAGCTGTTGTTGTTTTCCTTTTAACATATTTTCTCATATATATGTTTCCTTCTAACATTTTAATGCTAGGCTCTAATTTTTTTTTTTTTTTAATATTTGCATAATATTCTGTTTCTCAATGTGTTCAGTAAGCAAGTTCTTCTAAATTTTAAAATGTTTATCTGTGTAGTGATTGTTTTCATCTTGCTATTAAAGACAAATCTTCGCAAACTACCTGTGAAAGTCATGCCAAATCTTGCCTTTCTAACTGTTAAACTTTATATTGGCATAATACAAGAACCAACCCATCACAGCAAAGCAAACGCAAACTCAGCCACCTTCTGTAATCATTTCTGAATGGTTTGAGAGCTGAAGAGTAGTAGAGACAACAGTAAGAATGGCGAGATTCAGACAATGAAAATTATCTTATTAGATATTATTATGTTAATAGTACTATGTACTTTTATTGCAGTGTAGATTTCTTTAAAAGAAATAATATTTTGATAATTACCCTGTAGTTTATCGTAGACTTTTCATTTGTTATGTTCTTACTGTAACCGCATCCTTCGGAAATGAGATTATTTCACATAATTTAACCTTCCTGGATTTTTGGACAATAAAATTTGTGAAAAAAATGGAGGAAATACATATTATCAACTTCCTTTAAACAGTTACTATATTTAGTGTTTAGGCAATCTCTCTTATAATTTGTCGTCGGCTCACTTCTGTGAGTACGGGTGTGGCAATCCCGAGGTACCCTAGCCC